ACAAAATCTTTTTATTAAAATATTTGAAAATCTATCTGAATGTAAATTTAAAAATTAATATTTTTTAAAATTAATACAATATAATTATCCCAGAGCAAATTATACTAACACCATATTTTTTCAAGAAATATAAAACAACAACGAACCTTGAGAAGGCCGATAGCGGAGCGGTTGCAAGCCTCCCGAAGAATCCGAAAGCCGAATATATAGACAGCAGAGTCTGATCCGATACCCCTCGGGACTCCGATATCTGCCCCAAATTATTACCGAAAACCAATCCCAACGTCGCCCCACACAAATACACCATGAAATACAGCCAAAAATTCACTCTCTTCACCAACTCCCACACTTCCTGCACATTTTCCTCCTTCACCGCCTCCACCGCCGTCTCCTCCGCCTTCTTCCCGCCTCCTTCTACATCTCCACCATCCCTCTCCTCCTCTCTTCCCCTTCCGATTACCCACTCCCCCACCTTCCAAACCGGCACCACTATCACCACCGCCACCATCACCAACAAAACCGTCGCCGGCCATATGCCCGATGACCTCCTCACAGCCGGAAGCATCGTGTCAACCACCGCATACGCCCCAGTCACCCCCGCAATGGCAAACATTATCACAAGACCGGTCTTCACATCCCTCGGCTTCTCCCTCATCGCTGCAACCGTCGGCATAACCAACAACGCAACCGCCGCCGGCGTCACCGCATTAAGCAACAAATATACACTCTTATCGCTCACGGCATTCTTTCTCCCAACAATGACCTGAGCCAAAGCTAAGTAGATATTCACCGTCAAGCCCATGTAACTCGTCGTTAGCGCGATAACGGCGCCGTGATCCTTTCTCAAAAACTGTCGCATAACGGATCTGTAACCCGTCACATTTAACCAACAAATGCTGTTGCCATTCAGCACGTTGAGGAAAAAGAATTGTGTGTAGGAGAGAGAAGTGATTTTGCGGCAGAAGAAAAGGAACTGCACTCCATAGCCCACGGCACCAAGCGCGGCTCCGATGGCCGGCACCGCCCATAGCGGCAGGCGTTTGGCGGCGAGCCCGGCGCACCAGCCTAGGAGCTTGCCTGCGTCGGAGGCGACGGCGAGGTTATTGAGTTTGAATTGGGTTATATGGAGGCGAGACTTGAGCTCAGAGGAGTAGGCTGGGAAGTCTGTGTTGGTGCCGGCAATGGCTTGGAGCCAGATGATGGTGGAGAGAGTTAGCCATGGAAGGGCAGACATGGTCTTGTTGAGATTTGTTCAATATACATCAGTGTACCTAGA